TGGACGACGGATATGGTAGGAACAAACCATCCTTTCGCCTTGGCCTCCTAAAGTGCTTTGTAAACTAGGAAGTGCTGCATGGTTACCTATTTTGACGTTATTAGTGTGGGTGGAGAAGAAAGGCAGAGGAGCGCAGGTCTCCAGGGAGGAGAGGGGTGGGCTCTGGGAGGTGCCTTTGTGTGTGCCAGTGTGCTGATGACCTGGGCTCCAGGAATCATAGCAACAGCCTCTACTCCCTGGAAAGTGCCGTGGTCTCTGCATCAGGCGCCCAGAGTCAGGACCCAGCTGCAGGCAGGGCTGTCTGTGCTTACCGGCTGTGTAGTCATAGGCAAGAGCTCCACGGCCTGCCTGATTGGCGGTGATCAACCCTGCTGCACCTTAGAATCTTACGAGGAACATTAACAAGTGCTGATGCTGGGGCCACACATCTGACTCACCACACCTGACCCTGGAGGTGGACCTAGGACTAGGAATGTGTAGCATTGAGAACCACTGGACTTTTTTTTCCTGTCAGTTCATCCTACTGACCACAAGATGGTGCCCTATCTCTGGGAAATCTTTGATGTTCACCAAACAACAATTAATTTCTGTATTAATCCTGAAAACATGGATTTGAATTTAACAACCTTCTCCAGCATCTCATTAAGCCAGACCCATGTGCTCTTGGTGTCTAGCCATTTAATGAGTATCTTTTCCCTTCTGTTAGAAACCAGTGGTTGGAATGTGTCTTCTGTTTTGCGTTCCTCAAAAGGCTATAACACAAAGTAGAAAGTAGGATTTATGATCATAATCATTAGTATCAATGACAACTGATGTTCGTTTAATCGTTTAATCCTTTGCCATTTGCAAAGCGCTTTTCACCAACAATCCTCATAGTAACTCTATGAAATGGGCATTATCATTCCCATTTATAAGATGACACAACTGAGGCTCAGAGCACTATCTTGGTCGAGGTCACAAAACAATAATTAGCAGAACTGAATTTTCCAATGCCGGATCTCGAGCCCTTCCCACTGCATCATTAGAGACAAGCAATCAACCACCGGAAACCCAGAAAGTACAGCCCTGAGATAGGAAAATTCTCAGCACAACATCCGGAAAGCCCCTTAGGCAAGCAGGCAAGACAGACTGATGGCTCCATGCAGCACAGATGAAAGGCTGGCGGACAGGCATGTTTGACTGGACCGAGTGACCAGTGGGGGTAACAGATGTGAGGGTCCTAGTGAGCTGCTGGACTGAGTCAGTAGACACTCGACAAGAGGGCAGATTTTAACATTTGTAATTTTCTATTCCAGAAAAATGAACTGCTATATGCCAATAGGGAACATTCATCTTAATTCTGACTGTATAAGAAGTTATAAACTCATTTCCAAAGAAAATCCTTTCCTACCAGCAAGTGACGTCTTTTGAGATTAGTAAATCTAATAAAGGTAACTTACAGACTTGCTGCAAGACAGATTCCCGTAACTGAACAGGAACCCAAATGTCAGGGACCCAGGCGCCCAATCCTTCTGCGTGTTTTTAATCTCAGATAAAGCAGCCATCAAGTGTAGGTTCCAGTTACGTGGACCAGCAATACTGTTTTCAGGACAGAGGCAATGAAATGGAAAATGTAATATGTTAGCACTTCGCTAATTTTATTGACTTCAGCGTCTATTTTAGCAATTCAGGATTCTGCTTTAGCTGTGTTCCGTGTCTCAGCTTCCCTGTCTATCAAATGATTATAATGGCACCTATCTCGTAAGACTGTTACATGGATCAAAAGAGTTTATAAAGCACATAGAACCATGCCCAGGACACAGAAAACATGATGTGTTTCTTAAATAAATAAATGGATATAAGCACATCCACTTATCTTACAAGTGAAATTTTAATTTTTTTCAATATTCCAACTAATTTTAAAATTATGTTATTTGCACACTTGTAAGTACAGGAAATATATATACATTAAGAAGATAAAAGTATTGCCTTATTATTAAAATTTGAAGTCCCACTGAAAAGGCATAAATTTGATTAAAATAATGCTACAGTCTTTCCGGCCTCAGAAATAGGTTAAAATTACTTAAGTCCATCCTGTTTTTCATCTCAGGATTAGTGATATCAGCAAATAAGCTCATACACTGCGTAAAGAAATATGAGAAGTGATAAGATTTTTCTTTTTCTTCTCTAAGAAAAGCTTTCCTTTTTCTCCGCTTGACCTCTGTTAAGTCTGGGAACCAGTGATCAGTTTGGAGAGCACCCTTGGCACATGGTGTTTTCTCCTGACTCTAAAGACATCCCCCGTCTGTGTTTTGAATTGAATGGGAGCTTTCCACAGCACTACTCAGCTCAAACCTCCATCTCAAAGTATACATTTAAAGCATTTCAAAAAAAGAGCATTTGCTGAGAGACTTCTAGGGAGAAAGACTGGAATGCTGAGAATGTAATAGGGGCAGGGCTTGGAAGAAAGACAAATTGAAATGTTGCTCTCCAATCTAGGGGTTGCGTTTCGTGTTGGCATTACTTTTCTTTTAGTAGAGCTACCATACTGTTTCCTAGTGATGGCTATTCTTGAAGATTTGGGTTTTTTTCTTGCGTGCTATTTTATGAAATAAACTTTGTAGATTTCCAGCCACCATGGAACTCCTTCCTCCCCTCCAGAGATCCAGCCAAAGCCTTCTAGCCCCACTTTCTGCATAAACCCCTCTCCCAGCTCAAAGAGCCTCTTCCACTGTAGCCAGTCCCACCAGGCCCCTGGAGCTGGGGAAGAAGATGGCACACTGGGGACACAGAAGTGGACACATGCTCCAGTTACTTAGGTGGAGACTGAGCTACAGTTTTTCCCTCAGGGTTTAAGTTCTTTTGTACCAAAATGACATTATAGGGAAGCTACACTGAGAATTACATAGGCTCCTACACATTGGGACAGCACCCCAACTAACATTACATGATTGTTTCTATGGAAAAAATGAAACTTTATTCCCAATATCTGACCTCAAATGAACTTTTTAACATACCAGTTATAAAAGTTATAAAAGTATGTAGAAGAGGAGGACTCTTATACATACACTCACACTCAGGGACAGTTCTATCGGTCATACTGTCCATCTATCTATCTATCCATTCACACTATTTTTTAAAAAATTAAGGTACAGAATAATTACCAAAGGAATGGGAAAAGTAAAAAGCTAACATCTAAAGAATAAAGTTAAACATTTTATATTTACTGAGTTCAAATCAATGGTTCTGTTGTAAATTTATCTTCACCTTCATTCACTGAGTTAAATCAATCAATTTTTAAAACAATCTCTCTTTTTTTTTAAATAGTAAGAGACAGTGTGGTATAAAATATAGTACATGAGTTTTGTAGTTGTAAACTGTAAATCTCAGGTCAAGCTACTTAACTTTCCCAAGCCTCAGTTTTCTTATCTTTAAACAGGGATTATAATATTCACTTTCTAAGACTATTTTTTTTTTTAACTGAGCTAATGTAAATATATAGCATTAAATCTGGCACAAAGTGGTTATTTCCCATCTTTCTTCCCTATTACTTAACCTCTTTGAAATTACTGTGTTTCACTTCAATAAAAATATCTTTAAACCACATTTCGTTGACAGAAGGCTTGATTTAAATAAACTCTTCTCTCGGCTTGGGTACTCATCCATCTATCTGCTTGCCTTAATTAGGTTAATGTCTAAAAGAGACTACTGTGATGGCTTATTGACTAACAAATTAAATAGGGCCATGCCATGCCACACTACACCTGCCAGGAGATGGTTGGAGTGGCCAAGATATAAAAATAAAAAATAAAAAAAAAATAAATAAATAATAAATCAAATAGGTTCAAAGAGCTTACTTATGTTGACCACTGTAATCATTGAACTGACTTACCTCTGCCTTACCTTCCCCTAAATGCTCAATTTTCACTAGATTTTGTGGATTTTATGTTTTTTCTTTTTTTTTCCACACTCATCCACAGCCGAAGATCCACTTTGTGACAATAGTTAGTAAAGCCAGGTTTTACTCAAAGATGCAAAAAATGAGCTCAGTGAAGGACAAATCAGATTTCCTTTGAAGCAGGCTTGTCAGGCGTTCTTTCCTATTTCCTATTAGGTCCATCTCATGGCGGAGTCGGCAGCAAGGGCGGGGGCAGCATGCTGCAAGGAGAGCAAGTGTCTACGGACAGTGGGAAGGAGCCTGCTGTCCACTGGGGTCCAGCCGGCCCCATGTGAGTGGGAGTCTCCTCTGCTGACGGAGTGCCTACAACTCTGACACCCACCCCCCCCGCCCACACTCTCTCACTGGTCCCCATTCCTGGTTGCAGAGTTGGTAGTTCTGCCTGCAGATTTGCCTGTTGGCTGGAATTTGACACTTGCTCCTTAATTGATCTCATTATAATTCTCAATTTTTTTTTTTTTAGAAAACTCTGTGACCACTTGAGATCAAGTCCTGCCTACTAAGCTTGATCTCAGGGTTAAAAACATATTTTTTTATTATGTAGAAATCTGAAGGCCTAGGACATTTACTATAATTCATAACCAAAAAAAAAAAAAAAAAAAAAAAAAAAAAAAAAAAACCACATATAAGCCCATATTCTAAAATATTATCCCTTTTAGTTTATATCAGATTGGAAAACTGTCTTTGTTTTGAATTCAAACATAAGGCATTTCTCCCCTGTTATAAAAGATGGATTTCTAACGTGCCACCACCATGCAGCCAAAGCTTGAAGGCGTCCAGACGTCTTGCATTTACTTGTGCATTCAAGGTTCATTCAGGTGGTTTAATGTGAAGCTAAAATGTCTGGTCTTACATTCATCTTCAGGAATGATGATTTTAATTTCATGGTACAGAAATAAGGTCAAATAAGAAAAAGTAGACCTAAAAATGTTAAGTGTTTAACTTACTAATCCACTAGATCTTTGACAGCAATTTTAGATTAAAATGGTCCAGAGGACAAAGTGCATAATTAATGATGAGAAAATGATTCCTTCAAGTCCCACAATAAGGAGTTCTGCCTGCGTTAACCATTTGTCTAGAGTTTTATTTATGTGAAAGTGACAGTTACTTCTTGGTTCTGTCTCCTTCGTTCCAGTACTGTTCAGTCTGCATTTCTGTGAGTCGGGAAATCGTGCGCTGAAATGCAAAGATTTCCTCTTCTCCAGTAAACATGGAGAGTCCTTCTGCTGAATCCTGGTTATAAAACAAACAAATTAAATTAAAGCTATCACAAACGAAAATTTACAGAACCTAAGCATAGGTTTAAAAAAACTTTTTAGGCTTACCGGTTTAGATTATGCCTTTTTTTAATAACTTTTTTTTTCATATACAATCCCTTAAATCAGACTAGAGAGTCAACCAATTTAAACTGCTAGGCAGTAAACACATCAAATTATCAGAGAGAAAACTTAAAAGGGAAAACTTTCTCCAGAAGTGTACATCAGAAATAAGTAATGTTAAACAAAACAAAACAAAAAAAAACAGTAGTTCCGAGAAGCTAGAAAGAGGCTGGTGTAGGCCTCCAGACAGGGTCCCATTGCCTAATGGGGAGGCCCTAAGGACAAACCTCTGGAGAGCCTTTTCCAATCCAACCAATGACTAAAGGAGAGCAAATGCGAATGAACAGTGGGTCTGGGTTCTGGAGAATGTGCCTGAGATCTAAAAGCCAGGGCTGAAAGCCAGGGCTGTTGTTAGTCTTCAGCTGCTGGGACAATTGATCCCACCATCTAGGACCAAGTTGGGAAGCCCTGTCTCTGTGAGGCTAGTAACCCCATCTCTGTAAGGCTAGTAACCCCAGACTAGTGACACCAACACAGACTCGTGGCCACTAAGTGGGCTTGGAATTTTTCTCTTTCCTTAGAGGTTTGCTAGTATGCTTTTTCAGAGAAAAATTCTGGATTCCTAAGTCCATCTTCTCCACTGATTCATTGTGAACCTTCATGGCCCTGAGGTCACATTCCCTGATTTCTTCATATATGATTGGCTCCATCTGCTGAGCTTACTTTGTCTTGATCCTAGGGGAATTTGAGACAGGGTTTCACTCCGTCACCCAGGCTGGAGTGCAGTGGTGCCATCTTGGCTCACTGCAACCTCTGCCTTTTGGGTTCAAGTGATCTTCCTGCCTCAGCCTCCCCAGTAGCTAAGATTACAGGTATGTACCACCACACCTGGCTAATTTTTTATTTTTTATTTTTTGTAGAAATGGTGTTTCACCATGTTGCCCAGGCTGGTCTTAAACTCCTGAGCTCAAAGCAGTCTGCCCACCTCGGCCTCCCAAAGTACTAGGATTACAGAAATGACCCATTGCACCAGGCTAGGGGAAAAAAATTTTAAGAGCCAATGATGTAAACTTTACCAACCTTTTGGCACCAGGCACCAGTTTCATGTAAGAGAATTTTTCCAGGGACCGGGGACAGGGGGATGGTTTCCGGATGAAACTGTTCTACCTTAGATCTTAGGCATTAGATTCTCATAAACAGTGTGCAACCTCGATCCCTTGCACATGCAGTTCACAACAGAGTTGGCGGTCCTCTGAGAATCTAATGCTGCCGCTGATGGGACAGGAGGCGGAGCTCAGGTGGTAATGCTTGCTCCTCCACTGCTCACCTCCTGCTGTGAGACCTGGTTCCTAACAGGCCACAAACCAATACCAGTCTGTGGCCCAGGGGCTGGGGGGCCCTGATGTAAAGGACTTTAGAAACCAAGCTGATGTAGCTCCTCAAGTGTATTCTTTCAAATTGTCAAAGACAGTATTTGGATGTAAATATTGCTCTTGGAGAACCAACATTTCAAATGATCCCAGTACAGAGATTTATAAGCAGCTATTTATTTCTACACTGCTATGGTCTGAATGTTTGTGTCCATCCAAAATTCATATGTTGAAATCCTAACCCATAAGGTGATAGTATTGGAGGTGGAGCCTTTGGGAGTTGATTAGGTCTTGTGGGTGGAGCCCTAATGAATGAGATTAATGCCTTTATAAAAGATGAGAGATCCCTCACCCCTTCCACCGTGTGAGGTTTATACAGAAAAGACAGAGGCTTATGAACTAGGAAGTGGGCCTTCACCAGATCGCACCCTGATCTTGGACTTCCCAGCCTCCAGAACTGTTAGAAATAAATTTCTGTTGTCTGTAAGCTACCCAGTTCATGGTGTTTTGTTATAGCAGACTAAGACATACACATAGGTTTAAGTCATCATATTGGAAAGTTCACTTTCTAAACAGGCTTCATTCTCCCAAACTCCTGAAAATGTCTCATTTCTACTCAGGTTGATAAGGAATTGTTTCCTTGTTCCAGGGAGTCTTTCACCTGTGGGGCTGGAAGAATTGGGCTCCCCTCAGGGGGTGAATGTTGATAGTTGTAAACTTTTGACTAATATTTCAATTGTTGATAGGTGAGAAGAAACACATCCCGTAATGTTCTTACAGAAGGAGAAAATGCAAAGTCACTTCTGGTTGGCCTGGGGTGAATCACCAGACTCCAAGTTCCAGGAAAACTGGGCTAGCATCTGTTTGTTCCCTACAGAGTGTCCCCAGAGCCTGGCACCCACAGGTACTCCATAAATGTTTGCAGAATGGAGGTAGGGAGATTAATCAGGGATTTCTTTTCAAGCCCAGGACCTTGCTAGGCACTCCATGGTCCTGGACTAGCCAGCCCACATGCTTGGATACTGTATCATGCACTCTACAAATCCAGCAAGCATTTAGAAAGATATCCAGAAAGGGCAGCATGGTATAGCAGAGCAAGCCCAGAACCAGACGCAGGTGGCTTGGCATCCAGCTCTGGCCTACCACTATTCAGCAGTGTGACCGTGGGCACCTTAGTCCACCTCTCTAGGCTTCATTTTTATCACATGCAAAATGGAGCACTGAACTACATGACCACTAAGATTCCCTCCACTGTTAAGTTTATATTTTTCTATATTTAGTGATATTGAGAATGATAAATTTGCTACACGGGCTTACAGGAGAAGCAGCAAATCAATGGTTAACTATACACTGCATTTCTTCTTCAAAATGTAGCCATGCATCAAACCAAAAACAATTAAGCTGTTTTATAATAAAAAGAGATTATGTTAATATCGCCTACCTGGCTCAGCCCCAAATCATCCATCAGTATTCTGCTTTGCTCCAACTCACTGTCATGATGTTGATGTAAAAATAAGCTTGATATAGGAGTCGACGCAGAGCAAATTACACGCACCTGAAATAGAAGAAAATGAGTAAATGTGTTACTCTTTACATTTCACAAGTTGAAGGTAAGAAAAATCTCACAAAATAAAAATCTGTTTTTCACATACAGAAGCTTGGATCTTTGCTTTTAAGACGTCCATATATTTTTTTCCTAATTGTTTATCTCTTTAAAGCAGTGTTTTAAAACTGCATAGTACTTTTCAGAATATTTCCACACAACTCCTACCACCCTGTGAAGTAGGGCACAAAGGTTTATTGGGAGACTTCAGGGCTGGACAGGACTCAGTTCAAGACGTCAGCCCAGATCTTCAGTTCTTAGTCCAGTGCTTTTTCCATTACTGCTCTGGTTTGAATGTTTTTGTCCCATCCAAAATTCATGCTGAAACTTACTCCACAATGCAATAGGATTAAGAGGTGTGGCCTCTAGGATATGATTGAGTCATGAGGCTCTGCTTTCACCCATGGGATTCAGTGCCCTTATACAAGATTTGATGGAGGGAGTTCACCATTTTTTGCCTTCCATTCCTTCCACCATGCAAGAACACAACATTTGTGCCCTCTGGCGGCAACAAGGCATCATCCTGAAGCAGAGCGTAGCCCTCACCAAACACCCAAACCTGCTGGCACCTTGATCTCAGACCTCCTAGAACTGGAAGAAATAAATTCCTATTATTTATAAATTACCCAGTCTATGGTATTTTGTATAGCACCACATACTGACTAAGATGATTACGCTGTGATGTTGACATTTATACCTGGCTGTTTGGAGCTGGTCTGTGCACCTAAGATGCTCCCCAGAGACACTGTGAAGAGGTTAGTTACCCTTTTGCTGCACAGCAGACTGCTAAGTTCAGTGCATTGCTATTCTAATTAGGCCAGTGATATTAGCATCCTGCTAGGACCTTCTTCAAAAAGACGAAGATTTACATTAATATCTCTTGATTATGTAAGTATTTGAGTGAGTGTTCATATGTGATCATATATTGGAGACAGCTTTTATATCTTTTATATCCACTAGTTTAAATACAAAACATATTCTTTTTGATGTTTTAAAAGTCCTGAATTTGTCTTCAGGATTCATAACTATCTTTTTAAATCATTATTTAAATAATAATACACCAGTACTTAAAAATCATGTGTTGACATTTGACACTAGATTTTCCATATCCAAATGGCCTTCTACCTCCTCTTATAAGTTATTTTAATCAAAGACACTTTTTTATTATTTACATGGGACTATCCTTCTTTCACAAATCTCCATGAATACATTATAGAATAATGTCTGTTTAATGCTCCCAATTTCTGAAATAAAATGATTTTGACTACACTTTAATAAAGAGTGTAATCTCTGAATGTGTGGTTTAGTTAAAGGGAATGTTAGGAGGGTAGTTTGAGTATTCCATCATATTGCCAGATAAATTCTTTTTTCCTTCAATTAAGAAGTGAAAAGGTGGGGGTGAGGTAGGGTTGGGGGTAGGACTGAGGGATGGGGGCCATAAGCTTTCTCTAAGGCATTCCTAGCTGAAATATCAAAATAACAAGTCTCTCAATCCTCCACTATGAGCCATCTTAATCATGCCCCTCCGTCGTTTTCTTCTTGAAGCCTAGTCCTGTAAAAACAGCAGCCTCCAGGCCCCTGCCCTTCATTCCACCCCTGCCCTCCCCACCATTAGTGTAGAGTCGACTCTGTGGAAGGCAAACCACTCACAGCTGATGGGCCTCCATCCCCCAGCTCTGCGTCCTCAGCCTCCTGCCTCTCCAGATTCCCTGGTCACACGTGTGTGGGCTCCACAGGGACACACAGCAGCTTTTGATAGCACTCCCTTAGGTGGCCTTCCCTCAGCTTCTGCGTCAGAGCCACACTTGCTGCCTTTCACACTCGGCCCACCCCGGAGCCGTTGCTGCAAACTCCCCAAGCTGGTTACCCCTTTCGTTCTGTGCATAGAGTTTAGCCCTCGCTCTTCTCAGCGTTTATAGGAAGCACCTGAGAAACATGAGAACATGCAGTTCCTGGCCCCATGCCTGGTACTCATTTGCTGGGGTGGGGATGGGTGAGCTCTGGAATCTGGATTTTTAAGTAGGCCAGATGGTTCTGCCACAGGTGGCCCTCAGAGGATTTCCCACCCCATAGATCAGTGCACTCTCCCCGCTAGACTTTCACAGCACCATATGCCTCCTTCTCTAAGAGGTCATCCCACAGTGGTGATTTTACATTGAGTTCCGTGGACATCTGAATCACCTTTCTCTGGTATTAGGCTATCTAAGCTCTTTGAAGGCAGGCACCATCTAGTTTCACTTGCCACTGAATTTCTAGTGTTTGGCATGATGAAGTTTACAGAATGAATGAGCAAATGAAATATTAAATTATCACCTCTCCCTCCCAGCAGATTCTGTGGCTTATCTCCTTCCCACAAAGTCCCTTCAATTTAGAATCACTGCTCTAATTCTGTGCAAAGAATAGGGAGGAAAAAAGTGTATCTAATGGTAAAATAATATTTAAATTAATTCTAATTTCAAAATGTACTTTTGCTATGAATCTATATTTACAGATACATTCTATTAATAGCTCACCTTTGAGAGCATACCACATGCCAGACAACATTCTTTGTGCTTTACATGCTCATTTAATATTCACAACAACTTCAAAAGTACCATTATTATCTGCTTTTTCTAGAAAAGGCAGTTGAAGCTCAGAGAGATTAAGATGATCTCTAGGATAGACAGCCTGACCCCAGGGCCCACTCTTGAACCACTAGGCTATGCTCCTTTGATGAATGGGCGATGGCTTGGCAATTCACGCTAAAACGTATGGATTAAAAACAAACAAACAACAAGATGGAATAATGCTAGCTACTGGGGTTTCTGGGTCATAGGGAGAGAGAGAGCTTCAGTATTCAGAAGGGTCCTCTAGTCATCCACTCATTTGTTTTCTTCTCCTTCTCCTTCTCCTCCTTCTCCTCCTCCTCCTTCTCTTTCTCCTACTTCTTCTTCTTCTTTTTTTTTTTTTTTTTTAGGGCCTCACTCTGTCACCCAGGCTGGAGGACTGGAGTGCAGTGGCATCATATGACTCACTACTGTAACC